CTGTTACTTTTCATGACAGAAATTTGAATTATTGTCCACGTTCTCATGAGGCAACCGACTTTTTGTGCCAGTGCACTCAGACACATCCTACTGTGGGAAATGTTCGGATTGTCTTATATTCTCACAGGTGGAAAAGTACTCTCAACTCCAAGTGATAACCAACATTACGAAATTGTTTGCCAAGTTGAACTTTTTGATTCTGTTCAACCAGCTGAACAGTATTGTTATTGCTACCGAATAATACCGAGCTTTAACGAGAGACAAGTCCAAGTATAACACGTCATCTCGAAGGAGGCTAACCAATAAGTCAACCAGAATATGAAAACCGCGGTTAAAAGTGAGTGGCTTTGAAGTGAATTCAACCGCCTCCATGTTTATTCATAATTATCGTACCTGTCTAAAATCTGATATTTTTTGTTTCTGTATTGTCTGGACTATAGTGTTAATTCCAAGTATACACTAAAGTTACGATCTTCACCACTGGTGCTTCACAAAGCTGCCACAAATACTGACGAAATATATTAGTCCGTCCAGTAAATCACGAAACCTGAAAAGAAAAAGAAAGATTGCGGAAGAATGTGCAGGTAGATGGTCGTTTAAGCCTATATAGTTCGTGCAGACTAAATATACTCTTACTATATATTAGGTTTGGACTGCTTTGAGGCCAGTGGTCAATAGCACATCCGCCTGATATAAGACAAACGTAGATGTTCTAGAGGTTAGGTTCGATGAGTTTGCTCACTGAATACCAATGTTCGCTCCACTTTGGAGTATGCTCTTTTTAACCACCGAACATTAATCAACCAACTTTGCGGACTACACTTCCGGCTTCGAACTGCAACTCGGTTCAACCACCGGAACTCTGGCGATTTTTGTTAACTCTCCACGTCCTGGAAAATGATGTGGTGTTAGACGCTGATGAACAATTTTTACCCCATAAGGGCATCAAACCACGCACACTTTCACAAACGAGTACACGCACATAATTCTGGTATTCGAAGTCGAAGTGTATGCAAATGATCCTTCAAATAGTTCCGAATTGGCTGTCTTGCATTTCCGTTCGTTCAACCGATCCCCACACACAGGTGAGATGCATTGGTGTATGTTACCACCGATTTGACAGTACGCTCGTGGATAGATGTTTTGGGCTGCTCTGAGTGGTTTGGTGTTTGCCTGCAGTCAAATTTGACCAGATACTGGAAGGAGTCGTACGCGTACATAGTCAATCACATTGTATGGGATATACTTTGGTTCCTCATACGTCGGTGTGAATGACAAGTAGTTCTTGTGTGAAGCTAGGGGGAAAAACTGCATGCAAAATACTCGGGCCTTAAAGCCAGACAAACCTGTTGTAGAAGAAATGATGTGGGTCTAGCACAAACAGCCGCGTTTTTCGATTGACAAACCTCTCCGAAACTATGAGTTAATTCCTAGGTGGCATCTGCAAAATAAAATACCACTTGTCACTCATGATATCTGAACAAACCGAGGATGTTTCATTTGGAACTCAGAGTGAATTCAAATGATAGTTTCATTGAAACATTTTGACAAATTGGCTAGCATGTTTCACCGAGAAGCAAACATACCGTTTTGATGCAAAGCAAATCTATTACAGGCGAAAAATGGTTAGTGTTCAAGAAGCATAACTCTGTAAATGATAATATATTCCACACGATGTACAAAAAATGATTGTAACGTCAGAAACTGCCATGATTCTTAAACCAGAAAAGCATTCCATTTGGTCCAAATTAAATTGTCGTGGTGACTGAATCCAGTGAACACCTGCGTCACGATATGTGTTTTGAGATCAGCCAAATTTGGTTTCGTCCAAATACCTAGTGTCCAGTGTACACTTGAAGGACTATGATCGGAATGTGTATAGACGGATGTAGTTTGGTCATTATTGGATATATAAATGTAGACATGCATGCACATCGCATAGTTGTCGCTTGTAAAACTTGCGGCTGATTTTCCAAACTGCAATCTGTAGTAAACGTAGCTTATCTTATGACAACGTAATTGACTTGATGATTGTGGTGGTTGAGGTAGAGTTCTGCAATCCGGTGAGTTCGATTCTTGTACCGTCTACTTGGAACGCCACGACCAGGCGTTTATCTGAACGTATCCGTGAGCACCATCCAGCCTGGATCATCAGTGGAGTGACGAAGACAATTACGAGCGCCATTGTTTCACACCTCGTTGATACGAATCACACTGTCAACCTGGACTCCTGTTTCCGTCCGATTTACCGAGTCAATGCCAATCAC